TAAGTTTATTTTTATTTTGCTTGTAGAATGTAGAGCATTGCTGTCTGTAGCTCCATGGGTTTATAGAAAAGAATAAATGGCCAGTAAGTGTTTGTGTAGAAACAAAAATCCATTTATACAACATATCACAGTAAGAAAAGCACATGGAAAACATACCTATGTTTTTATCCTTTGTTCTTCTATATATTTGCTGTGATTTGGGGCAAGATTCTTAATCCGTCGAACATAATTCAGAAACACTTACTAGATGCCTCTTGCCCCGTCGAACATAATTCAGAAACACTTACTAGATGCCTCTCTGTGTAAAGCACTGTAGTAGGCACTGTAAGCACTACAAGGATATGTAAAACACGAGACCTTTCCAGCTCAGCTTGTGACTCCAGGTACTGTCTAAGTCGTTAATTCTAACACTCACTTTCTGCAGTTCAAAAACGGATCTCGTTCCTCCACTTCCTGTGACCCGTTCTTCAGATGCTCAGGGTTCTGGTGGCTCCACAGTTCATCAGGTAGGTAACATTAAATTTTAAGAAGGTGTTGTACTGAAGATAAGATTCTGTGTTTTAAAAAACATGTACCGAACATGGAAGGAGAGGGAAGCAGGGGTGCATGATCAAGACAGGGCACAACCGTGAAGAGTTACATTGGGAGTGAGAGCTAGGAGAAGCGTGAGGTCTAAAGTGATCTGAGGCTTGAGACAGAGCCAAGGATAACAAAGATTGTAAGACTGTTTGGAGCCAAAATAAAGGAACAATGACTCCACTCATTTAAAAAAGTGCTTTGAGATATTTTTTGGAGCCAGAAAAACAAAGATAAAGTGGTAGACTCAGAGGGGCAGACATTCTATTGTTAACTGATGGCAGACAGGAGAACTACGCAAGTCTTATTTTATTCCTGTCTTCTCCATCAAAGAGAATTACTTTTGTTTTGGAAATGTTTTAAAAGATGTGGTCAAAAGGGAATTCAAGGACACAGCAAAATACCCAGGTGCCTTAACAAAATCAATTTAACACTCAGCTGAATTAGATTTATTAGGGGAGCAGTGTAGCAAACATTTCAGCAAAGTGTTTGACATCATCTCTCATAGTCCGTTTTTTAATGAGATGGAAAAAAATGTGGGCTGTTTAAGATTGTTGTATGGATTGAATCTGGTTAAACAATTACTTTAGAAACAAACTTGATGTTTATAATGAATCAGTATCAGCTTGTTTGAAGGGGATTGTTTGGATCGTGGATTTCTTCAAAAGGCAATGGTAACTACTCTCTCTCCCATAAAAATGCATGTAAGCATATATTTAATGTGCATAAGCATAAAATTCAGGACGTTCATGGACAACCTAAGAACCTTGACTCCAGCGTATCCATCATGTAAAGCCCTGTGCATGTCCTGCTTGAGTTTTGTCAGTGACTTGAGCAAGGGCAGAAAAAGCCTGTGCTAATTTAGGTTAGGTTCCCTAGGAAGAGATTTTGGGATGGAGGTTTACATGGAGGAAATTATTGGAA